TCATCCTCACTGTAAGGCTGCATTTGTATTTTTTTTTAAAGGCACCTCACATTTTCTAGCTATTGCCTTCTGATGATATTTGTTTTGTTAAAAAGCTTGAATGTTCAATGGAAATACTTCAATACTGAGAATGGAATATTTTTCAATTCACATTTGAATAGCCAGGTTTTCTTACATTCAGATTTTAATAAACTAGAATGACAATCTTTAAAACAAGCTTGCTAGCCTATAATGAATATAGTATATACAGTAATTTAAACATTCAGAACTATATATTATACTGCAAAAGCAACAGCACAACTTGTCATACTCATCATTACCTGCTGTGTACACTACCTCCCAAAATGAAAATACAAAACAGTAAAATGCACCTATTTCTACAATATATATAATATATATTTATAAAATATACATACATTTTAGACACTTTCAAATAAATCTTCATAATTATCTCCAAAAGAAATTTATAGCAAGAATACTGAAGGAATGAAAGTCAGATAAACAAAAAATTTCTCACAAAGTTCATTATCAGTGTTGCAGCTCTATTTCCCCCTTTTTAGCCATAACTAAAATGATTATAAAAGCTAAATACTTTGCATAACTAATTATTTGTTTAATGGCAAAAATTTCTAAACTTGTTTAATAGAAAAATACTGATGGTCATTATATCACTTATGTTAAATATCTTTCTGTGGTTTGAGTAGCAAACGAGCTCCATATGACAGCTGAGTTTTGAGAAGGGTGCTGCAAGCTCCCAGAGATGTATCCATAGCATATGAAAATAAGGCAGGGACCCACACCTCCTACTGATTTTCATACTATACCAATACATCTTGTCCAAAATATTTACAAATCAAGCACTAAGAAAGCATTTTAGTAATTGTTTAAATCTTGAATTTGTTCATTTTGTTAATTTTCATAAAAACTGCCATCGGCTGGGGGAAAAGTCAGACATATATACATGCTACTCTCTGGTTGGAAGACAGCTTTGGCTCATCTCTAGGCTAAGATCATATGGCGCCAGTGGAGAAGACTCTGTGCACAGTCTCCAGTGGCATAGCACTGGCTTTTCTAAGGAACTTTCAACAGTTCCATCATTTGCACTACAGTCTATATATCTCATGGTTATTTTCTACTCATTAACAGAAAACTTTCACCATGATCCTTAAAATGAACAGGGAAAAAGAATGTCTTGGTTTTCAGAATTTCAGTGACATAAGTAAAGCAGGCACTGAAGACCTTAGAAGGTAATTAAAGCAGTAACTGGTAAAAAACAATAGCTTTATAATCATCTGTCATAAATATACCAAGTAAGGGTACCTGACTGCAATTTTCCAATATCCTTCTAGAAATCCTAGGTCATCAACACCCTTTCTTCACTCCCTGGAGAACCAAAAGGAACTTACTAAATTTACAAGGTGGTATTCTCTATCTGCATGAAAAGATAAACATTTACCTTGTAGCTCATGTCTAGGTCAATTCATTTGATTATATAAATGAGTCTCTTAAGCCTGCTTGTTAACCAAAGCACAAAGCTGAAAATGAAAAGGAAGCTGTGTTATACTACAGCGTATCTGTGTAACAATCAGGCAAATTTAGCAGAGGTTTTAGCTTTCAAGAAATTGTATCTATATATTACAGAATTCTAGAGGCAGACAAGCAGAAATTCTAAGAAATATCATCAATTATTATCCATATCACTACTAGGCTAGAATATTTCTTCAAGGACTATGTGTGTGTTATCAAAAGTATCATTGCTATGACAATGAAATATGTGGGATAGGAATGTCAAAATTATTTTAATGGATCAAAATATTTATGGATGTAATTCTTAAATTCTGTCTGAGGGTCTACTACACATACCTTTTGGTGAAAAACTGAACATTAATATTTTCTAATTTTTAGATTTGTCTCTCTCTCTATGTATATAATTTAGGGTAAAAAGAGAGAGAGAGAAAGAGGAGAGGTGTAATAGTTGTAGAGATGAGGTCTGTATATTAGGGGACTAAGTTTAAGAAGTGGAATCATGGGAATCCCAAAAGCTAACACATATAGGTCACAGGTAAGGTGGGCTCAGAGAAGCCTGACTTTTTAAGAAATAGTTTTTCTCCAGGTTCAATACTCATTCACTGCTTATTAAAACATGTATTTTCCAATTCAACAATGGGGAAAAGATAAAGAAAGAGAAAACCTTTTAGCCCATTTTAGACACTGAACTCTTCCATTTAGATTTCCAGGAGGTTTTTTTCCTTGGAGATATTAATAAAGGTCTTGTGGGGTACAAAACATTTGCTTTAATTAGTAATTCTGTCTGATGTTAACCACACTCTTTGGACTATTGAAACAATAATTATGAATTATTTTCCACATCAGATATCATGAATGAAAAGACAAAAAAGAGCAGAGAACATCTGAAGCATTGTTATGTAGGTTTTGATAAATGAATACCAGAAAATAACTTTCGTCTTTTCAGTCACTGAAAGGTAAAAAATTTCACCAATATTAAATCATCACTGGTACTATAAATACCACACGAATAAAGTGAATTTTAAAATAGAAATCATTATAGAGATATTCCCTGTTCACCCTTAAAACTAAACAGAATCTCGAAACTGAATAAGTTAAATCCTTTAGTATAAGCAGACTTTACCAACTACTTTTTGTAATAGTGAGGGCTTGACAAACTTGAGGATGGTACCAAATCTATCTTGAAAACTGTAATACAACATAAAAATCTGCTTGTAAACTAAATATTTGTTTAGTATTTCTGAATAATAATATATTTAACATATTGCATTTCTTTTTCTTCCCCAACAGGTAAAATGCTTTTACAGGTGTTTATGTGAAAAGGAGAACTAAATTAAAAACTCATTGTAACACTGCCCAGTCATTATAAACGAAGGCGTTAGTATAGTAGATATGATAAAGATTACTGTTTTGACTATCTAATGTGTTTAATGAGATTTCTCAGAGCAGAATTAGGTCCAAGTTTCTGCTCTTCCTCTGCTCATTCCCAGCCATCAAGCTGTTCAATCATCCATAACAGCATGCCTTATTTACTCAATATGGATATGCTACACCTGTATTCGCCCAGGCCTGCCTAGCGAATCACAACCATCTCTGAAATAAAAATGCCTATTTGGGGGGAAAATGTGGAACAGTTTTCAGGCTCGTGGATTTAGCTGAGCTTGCAGCAACCTGAACAAACCTTAGTTTTAGAAAACAGTATACGAATTGCAAAACTATACTTTAACAAATGTTCTCTGTGCTCCTTCAGAACAAAAGGGCAGGAAGAGTTGATTCTTGCCCTGGTCTTCTGTATCTCTTTTGTGCAGCTGATTATTTATAAAGAGCTAGAAGATGAAGGATGATGCATTGTGTCATACAAACACTTTGGCTAGTGCATCAGCTCCAGCACTAGCTATGTAGCATTTGGATGGGTGGAAAGCTACATCATGAATCGATTCTTCAAACTTTTTCCGATGAGCTGTGAACTCCTGAATACATGTCTTACTTTCTAGATTCCATAAACGTATTGAACAGTCATGACCTATACCAAAAGAAATTGAAAAGAAAAATTACATTAACATGAAAATTATAAGGACACATAAAGTAATACATAATTGATGTACTTACTGCCAGACATCAAGTACAGGCCATTAGGATCAACTGCTAAACTTGTAACAGCTTCTAGGTGGGCTACCATAGAGTGGATCAGTTTGCCTGGAAAAGATTGTTGTTACTCACTATTAATGACTTTCCACATCTTGAACATATGCCAGCTACCATGTTACACTGGTTTCTCCAGTCGTCCCTCTCTGTGCACTTACTCTATCTACAGCTCTTTCCATCAGCTAAAATAATAAATGTCTCTCTCCTGTTTTTAGTGCTGGTAATGGTGAGGGACAAAAACAAATTTCAGATTACACTTTCGTCTTTTAAGTCACAATACAGAATTCTATAATCTCCATACAATCTCTCCTCTAAGCCATGCTCATTAATTAGAACTTAGACTTTATTAATCACCTGTTTTGCATCCTCTACCTACAGGCAACTTATACAGGTGATGGAAACAGAGTTCAAATTCACAGAGAGAAGAAACTAAGACAAAGACAAAGGAACAGAAAGAAAACATGCTACAATTTCAGTACAAATATATAGAAAAGGAGTAAAAATATTAAATTACTTATCACAGGCAGCTAAGCAAAGTCACCAAAAGTCAATATATTACCAAAGTCCCTAGCAGATACTTAGGTGAATATGGTTGCTACCACAGGTGCTTCCCTCCCAGTTCGTCATGAATTTCCCTCAAATGGTAAAATATTATGCAATAAAAATGAGAAAAGCTCATAGATCCCAATTCAAATAAACCAGGACCAAATAGCTGATATTACAATACAGAACAATCAGTTCATGTAAAAATGAATAAAATAAACCAAATTACCTAGGTGGGAATTTTCCGTCTGTAACACTGAATAAGACTATTTAATACTGAATAACTGAATATCATGTACAGCTATTTGATAATTAAACAATTTTATTAAGCAAAATATATTTTTGCATATGCCTCTACTTTCAAAATGTTTCTACTTTCCTTATGTATTTCAATAGATCATAGCAAAAGACCTTTTTATTGTTATTTGAATGAATTTTTTATGTGTCTGTAGTGATAACCTTAGCTCTTAGGCTTAAATATAGCTCCTAATCATTTTTTTTTTAAGATTAATTTAATTGGGAACCAGCAGTTAGCGTAATGGCTATGTCGCTGGACTTCCATGTAGTTGACCGCGGTTCGAATACCGGACCCGGTGGCTTAGAACTCACGCCGGGCGCGTGTGCGTGTGTGCCCAAGATCCCAAGAGGAGAATGGAGGAGAAGGGATTGTGGCGTGACCATCCCCCCTGGGGGGTGATTTCTCACTTTCTGTATCTATGTCTCTCCTCTGTCTGGCGAGCGCACGGGCCCTATAGTGAAAACCTCTCCAAAAAAAAAAAAAAAAAAAAACAAATAAAAAAAAAAAAAAAAAAAAGATTAATTTAATTTGGGCTGGCAAGTGGCGTGGTAGTTAAGGGCGCTGGACTCCCACATAGTCAACCACTCAAGTCTTGGACCTCGCAGCTTGCTTTCTCACTATCACTCTCCCTCTCTCTCTGGTAAAACTGAATACTACTACTAAATACAATTAAATAAATTCTAAAAAGATTTATTTAATTTAATTTATTATTATTATTACTATTTTTTAATTTGACTGGAGAGAGGCAAAGAAAGAGAGTGAGAAAGCAAGCCACCAAGCTTGAGACTAGACCCATGGTCAGCCAGGTGGGAGTCCAGCACCCTAACTACCATGCAACTTGCCGACCCTCCTACTCACTATTAAATAAACCAAAATGATCCTACATCTAACATGAATACAAATCAAGTCTTAGCAGATCTGAATGGAACAAACAGAAACAGAGTTAGGAATGTATTCATGTTTCAGTGCCTATTCTCTGACTAAGAAGATGCCAAAAGGCATCAAAATTAGCCTTAAAAAAAAAATGGGATTATTTTTTGCTTTAACAAAAATCATGATTAATTATTATTGATTTATTAAACATCACTAAACTTTAACAAATGCTTACCTGTATTGTTATCATAGAATTTGATGTGCCTGTCTTCATGAGCAGTGATGCTGATTGGAAGAGTGGGATGACTGATGACTCTATTTATTTGGCAGGAAGAAGTGGCTACTAAAAAGAAAAAAATTAAAGAATACAAATTAATCAAAGCTATAATTTTTTTCATATGAAGAAATGAATACTTACCTAAGACATTAGCTAAATAAAGTGGCACTGTCTTTCCTTCATTTGCTTTTCATCTATTTCAATGTTAGGAAATAAGAACTGGCTGAGCTATACTATACTGAGAAATTTAGAGGTGCCTAAGAATGAGAATTTCCTTCTCCGGGAAGCAGCAGTTAGCGTAATGGCTATGTCGCTGGACTCCCACGTAGTCGACCACGGTTCTCATCCCAGACCCGGTAGTTTAAAACCCACGCCGGGCGCGTGTGCGTGCGTGCCCAAGATCCCGAGAGGAGAATGGAGGAGAAGGGACTGCGGCATGGCCACCCCCTCTGGGGGGTGATTTCTCGCTTTCTGTCTCTCTCTGTCTGTCTGGCAAGCGCACGCGCCCTATAGTGAAAAACCTCTCAAAAAAAAAAAAAAAAAAAAAGAATCTCCTTCTCCAATACCTGCTATCTATATAGGTGTCTCCTAAAAATGAGCCTGGAGCCATGGACATTTCTCATCCTACAATGACTTGTACTATTTTTGCTACTTTAATAAAGTTCCATAATCAATTACATGTATATAATTTCCAAATTCTAACCTCAGTTTTTAACTTTATTTTAATTTGACCAGAAAGGGATAGAGCGAGAGAGAGAGAGAAAGAGGGAAAGTGAGAAAGCAAGTCGCCAGGTCCAGGACTCAATAGGACTCAAACCATGGTCAGCCATGTAGGAGTCCAGCACCCTTAACCACCAGGCCACCTGCCAGCCCTCTAATTTCACTTTTATCACATAGTTACCATCTAAGGTAACATGACGAAGAGAGTTTCTTTTTTTGCTATAGGGCACATGCATTTGCCAGAAAGACAGAGAGACAGAAAGTGAGAAATAACCACCACCACATCCCCCCTCACACCCCATGGGATGGCCACGCTGCAATCCCTTCTCCATTCTCCTCTTGGGATCTCAGGCACACACGCACATGCGCCTGACATCAGTTTAAGCCACCGGGTCTGGGACTCGAACCACAGTCAACTACATAGGAGTACAGTGACATAGCCATTACACCAATTGCAAGTCCCCAAAAAGAGTTTCTTAACCCTTAAATCTTTGCTTCTTTACTCTTCCACATAATAGAATAGAAACGGCTATTCAAAAGTATACCAGATTTGGAATCTTACAAGAGCGTCTGAACAATACTTTTTGAGTACTACTTCATAGTGTTCAAAGAGATTTCATCTGTCAGGACCAGCAGTTGGCATAATGGCTATGTTGCTGGACTCCCACATAATCGACCACGGTTCGAGTCCCGGGCTCGGTGGGTTAAACTCACGCCAGGCGCGTGTGCATGCGTGCCCAAGATCCCGAGAGGAGAATGGAGGAGAAGGGATTGTGGCATGGTCATCCCCCCTGGGGGGTGATTTCTCACTGTCTGGCTCTTTCTGGCGAGCGCACATGCCCTATAACAAAAACCTCTCCAAACAAAAAGATTTAAATTGTCTGCACAATGATAGAAGAAGGCTACACATATCAGTTAAGCCCATATTACAGTGACTGCATGACAGACTTCATGCCATCCTTTCCCTAGAGCTAGAAAAGGCTGTGATGCCCCACAAATCAACAGACAAAACCAGTAACTACTGTGACTCTGCCCTACCCAGATGACTCATGCAAATCAGACAACTGCCAAAATAGATTCCTAAACCATCACAGATTCTTCTTGAAGGCCTTTTATCAAAAGGAAATCAACAGTTAATCATTTAAGTTTAGTGATTTAAAAGATATTTTTTATTGGGGACCAGCAGTTAGCGTAATGGCTATGTCGCTGGATTCCAATGTAGTCGACCGCAGTTCGAGCCCCAGACCCAGTGGCTTAAACTCACATCGGGCAAGTGTGCGTGCGTGCCCAAGATCCTAAGAGGAGAATGGAGGAGAAGGGATTGTGGCGTGGCCATCCCCCCGGGGGGTGATTTCTCGCTTTCTATCTCTCTGTCTCTCTCTGTCTTTATGGCGTGCACACGTGCCCTATAGCAAAAAAACTCTCAAAAAAAAGATTTTTTATTAAGAAAAAATCTACATAGTGATAACACTAATTAAAGATATGTCTCTATGTCTCTCTCTGTCTGGTGAGCGCACGCGCCCTATAGTGAAAAAAAACCTCTCCAAAAAAAAAAGGAATAAATAGGCTTGATGAATTTATATTCACATAATAGAAAACATAACTAAAAAGTCTCTAATCTTATTGAAATTTCAGTGTAGTTCCTAGAAAGATGGTATCTTAAACATTTAAGATCTTTTACAATACTAACTGCAGAATGTTATTCAGCCTATTATTATTCATATACAGTACTGAAGTGTTCAAGAAAAAAGTCACTTTATCACATTTATTAAGTTTTTGATCAGCCATATTCAACTTAGATGATCCTAACTAAAGAGATGTTTAGTTTCAAAACTCCGGCTATTACTTTTTTTCCTGGCTAACACGCCACTAAGCAATATCCTCTGCTATAAGGTCTAACAAGAGAAAAACAGTAACAATAAAAAAGAAACACTTTAATTGAAATATCCCATATATTTTGAGAAGGAAGTTTTTAAGAACAGCTTCATGTATTTTGAAGGCTAGGAAATTAATACAATATAGGACCTGTTCCATGGTGTAGGACTAACGTGCTACTCAAAAACACCCAGATCACACTTGGTGATCACAGTTCAAACCCCTGGCCTGGTCAGCCTGAAACTCACACAGCACACACGCAAGTGCCCAGCATCTGACAGGCTGAGGACTAGAGGATAGGGACTGCAGCATGACCAGACTCTGTGGAGGGTACTCATCTCTTTCTCTCTGCCTCTTTCTCACATGCACACATATGAGTTCTATTATGAATAAAGGAAAAAAATTAACGATATGATAGAAATCAAATCATGGGAGCAGGCGTAAGAAAATTCTTATTTTACAAACACGTTTATGGAAGCTTCTCTATTTGTAAACCAGAGAAGTAGGCGATTCAACAGTGCCAGCATTCCAACTTTGTTAAACCTACAAAATCTTAAATGGACTTTCCCGTGGTGGCACCGTTTAAGAAGCAGATGAAAGCTACTCTACCGTTTGCACATTCTAATCACTTTCCAGTATCACAAGAAATTTTTACTTATATGTTAGTCCTAGAGTATGCAGCTGGTAAAACCAGAGGCTACATTTAGTACTACTGCAAAGAGACAGTTTTCATCCACCAATGTTGTACATGTATGAACATGGTGTACTATATACTTTAACACACCCCATACTTTGTATTGGAGAGTACAATACTGTAAATCCTAAAAGCACCACTATTTTAGCATAATAAAAGAAAGTCCAGGGAACCAGTAGTTAGCGTAATGGCTATGTCGCCCACGTAGTTGACCGCGGTTCGCGTCCCGGACCCGGTGGCTTAAAACTCACGCCGGGCGCGTGTGCGTGCGTGCCCAAGATCCCGAGAGGAGAATGGAGGAGAAGGGATTGTGGCGTGACCATCCCCCCTGGGGGGGTGATTTCTCGCTTTCTGTCTCTATGTCTCTCTCTGTCTGTCTGGCGAGCGCACGCACCCTACAGTGAAAATCTCTCCAAAAAAAGAAATAAAAAAAAAGAAAGTCCAGGGACCAGCAGTTAGCGTAATGACTATGTCGCAGGACTCCCATGTAGTTGACTGCGGTTTTAGTTCCAGACCCATTGTGGCATGGTCATCCCCCCTGGGGGGGTGATTTCTCGCTTTCTGTGTCTCTGTCTCTCTCTGTCTTTCGGGCGAGCGCACGTGCCCTATAGCAAAAACCTCTCCAAAAAAAAAAGAAAGTCCATAGAGCTCCTATATAGACTACTCCAGATAACTTTGCTTCTTTGATTCTTGTAGCTTATTGTAATTGCTTCCAAGAAATTCAAGGTCATTATCATTGTATTATACAAAATAAGTGCTTTGATTAACAAAGCTATGTAGATTTTTTTTAATTTTTAAAAAACCTGTGGAGACAGTGATCTTGTCTATAAAATATGATAGCCCTTTCAGTATAATGTCTTAAAGATTATGCCTTTAATATCTGTTGGGAAGGAAATTTCCAGACATTTCAAATTTCACTATATGTTTCCTTTTCTGTTTACGTAGGGAACAATGTTTACAGTCATGTGTACAGTGGGGGTCTACAACAAGAAATGTACATTTTCAACAATTTTTTAATGATTTAACAGTTTTTGTAAATCATTTTCAGGCTTTTGCAACTGTAGGTTCTCACTGTGAATCTCTTGCTTGCTCATGCATAAGTACATTTGCAATATCAAATATACAGGTTTAGTATTTCTGCCTGTTAGTGACTGTTTCACATGTGTAACGTTTTGGTTGAGATGTTAAATGGTGAACGAGTACTATGGATGTGAATGTGGGAAGTAATTTTAATTGTGTAATTAGTCACAAGGCCTAATTTACGGTAACTGTTGTTGTTTTATTTAACAATGCCTTGTTGCTTTGTATGCATTCATGTTTGGGTGTAAAGATTGTGTGTCTATCCAACAGGGAGCCACAGTATTTAAACTAACCAATCTAATGTTACAACTACTTTAAGTCTTAATTAAAGTGGTGCAGTTTTGTATAACTTAGCATCAGTAGTTCAATAAACTTGGATTGCCATGCCAAAAATAAAAAAATAAAAAAATAAATTGAAAGACAGAGTGGACAGAGAAACACAAACAGGAAGACATGCACAAGCACATACACAAACATGTGCACACATATACACATGCATACATACAAACACACACCCCCAAAAAAATCTTTTTTTTTTTGCTATAGAGCACATGCGCTTGTCAGAGTGAGTGTGTGAGTGAGAGAGAGAGAGAGAGAAATCACCTTCCGGGGGGATGGCCATGCATTGTGCTAGCATGATTTTCAAGTTGCCAGGTCTGGGACTTGAACCATGGAGTCAGCTATGTGGGATCCAGCCATGCCACCTGCTGGTCCCAAAAATATGATTACTTTTAAAGCTAATTCTCAGATTAAAACAACAGAATATGTGTACATGGTTTTCTTTCTCAAGTTCAACCTAAACTGTGATTGCCTGGAATATGACTAATGGCAGAAAGCAATGGCTTAAAAGACCAAAAACCAGAAAGATTCTATAATATCTTCTTCATAACCTGAGAAAAAGATTCTACCGTATCTTCTTCATAACTCAAGAAAGCATTTATTTCCTGACTTCCTATATCCAATGAAAAGCTTCAACTATGTGATTCTAAAGAGATACGATATGATCTATAGTCTAGTCAGTATTGAGCTGTATTAAGATACAGCAATATAAAATTAGATTGATTAAAAAATGAAATTATGGGGCCAGCAGGCAGCATGTGGTTAAGGTGCTGGATCCCACATAGCCATCCCATCTCAGGGGTTCAAGTCCCTGACCTGCCAAGCTCATACCAGGAGCTTGTCTGTGAGCACCCAAAATCCCAAGAGGAGAATGGAAAAGAGATTACGACACGGCCACCCCCCTCTCCTGGGGGTGTGGGGTACCCTCTTTCTCCTCTCTCTCTCTCTGGAGAGTGCATATGACCTATGGCAAGAAAAATCTTAATAAAAAAAAAAAAAGTCTATGGAAAATGAAAAATAGATTAAATTTCCATTCAAAATAAATACTGCTTTCTTCAAAAGGAACTGAAAGTTGCTTGGTATAAAATTAAACTTGACTCACAATTTTGGAACAGCTCAAATGCTCTTTCATATAACATACGTATAATTGGGCAAAACTTGATCAAATTTTTAAATTATTTATTAAATTTTTATAAATTATCTTTTTAATTTGCTACAAGGCACACAGGCTCATTAGAGGGAGACAAAGAGAGTGAGAGGAGAGCAAGAGTGAGAGTGGGAAAGTGATAAAGCAAGTTGCCAGGCCAGAGACTCGAACCTTAGTCAGTCATGTGGGAGTCCAGCACCTTAACCACCACACCATCTGCTGGCCCCTAATCAAATTCTTAAAATCAACTGTAAGTCATCATATCCTTCTAAGTATGTTCTAAGATTTAGAAGGCAGAACACTTTATAAAGACAAGCATTTTTCATAGTTGACTCTAGTAGCTCTAATTTTGATTAAATTTAAAAAATTGAACCAAACACAGACTATTTAAAATTGGTATACATACTTGTATCTTGATTGGATTCTAAAGTGAGAATGCGTTGTTGCGTTTCCATGTTAAAGATGCTTGTATATCCTTTGCTGAATGATGCTACCATATGGCTTGGGTCACTGCTAACTAGATCCACCGAGGCAGGGATTCCCAGTTCTGAAAGATTCAGAATATATTCAAAGAAAATAGCAATTAAAGGCTCTATTCAGTAATGTGATTAAAATACACCAAAGCAAATAATGGTACTATTTCCGTAAGAAGCAAATAAGGCTTGCCATTAGAATAAAATTAGGTCATAACTATACAATGAAGATTATTTCTTTTGTTAACTTTTAGCCTTTGTCTATTTTAATCTTTACGTGATTAGTAGACCTTCTGTTATCAGCTAATATATTTATGGAATGCAACCCTATACTCAAAAAGGAAACAGAGGGCCAGTCCCATAGACTAGTGGTTAAGAGAAGGTAGATTCTACTTGGTGATGATAGTTCAAATTTCAGACCTGGAAGCTTGAAAACATACTGGGTACATGTGACTGCAAGTCCCAAATCCTGGCAGGATGGAGAAATGAAGAATGTACTGTAGAATAACCTTGCCTAACTGGAGGGTCCTTTCTCTCTCTCCCTCTCTCTGCCTCTCACTGGTGAACATATGCACCCTTTGGCAATTAAAAAGAAAAAAATTCCCAAGTGGAAAACACGTATGGACTACAAGTTTTGCTGCTCCTACTTCAAACTGGTGCTGCACGTGGTTTTTAAATTCTTGATGTAATGGACCAGCAGATGGCATAATGTTTACGTCACCAGACTCCCATGTAGTCAACCACAGTTCAAGTCCTGGACCCAGTAGCTTAAAACCCACACTGAGCCCATATGCGAGCATGCCCCAAATCCTGAGAGAATGGAGGAGAATAGGTTGTGGTGTAGCCATCCCCTCTGGGGGCATGATTTTTCACTTTCTGCCTGTCTCTGTCTCTGTCTCTGTGGTGAGTGCACATGTCCTATAGCAAAAATATCTCAAAAAAAAAAAATCTTGATTTTAAAAACACAACTCTTGGAGGAAGGGATCTCTATGAATAGTGGGTTTTTTTGTTGTTGTTGTTTTTTCGCCTGTGTCTCATGCACACACACTTTCACACATGCCAGCTGGTAGCATGGTGGTTAAGGTGGCTGGACTCCCACATGGCTGACCATGGTTAGAATCCCGGGCCTGGCAGCTAACTTTCTCATTTTTCCTTCTCTCTATCTGTCTCTCTCTATCAACTTCAAAATAAAATAAAATAATGAAAAAAAAAAAAAAAAAGTTAAATAATTCTAAAAAAAAAAAAAAAAAAATTTAAAAAATTTAAAAAAAAAAAAAAAAAAATTTAAAAAATTTAAAAAAAAAAAAAAAAAAATTTAAAAAATTTAAAAAAAAAAAAAAAAAAATTTAAAAAATTTAAAAAAAAAAAAAAAAAAGGAAAAAATAGAAGATCTGGGCATGGTGTTACATGTTTGTGGTCTCAGTTTGCAGGTTAAGGCAGAAGATTATGGCATGGCAAGGCCCTGTCTTTAAAAAATAAACAGAAAAACAAACTCAAACTAAAATGAAATACTAGTCCATATTCACCAGAACTAAACAAATGACACCACCAAATGTTGTCAAGGACATAAAACAACTGGAACTCTCCTATGCTGCTGTCAGTAGTATAAAACACTCCAACCACTTAGAAAAAAAATGGGATGATTTTACATCAAGTAAACTATCTGAGACCAGACGGTGGTATGGTGGTTAAGGTGACAGACTCCCACATGGCCAACCATGGTTTAAGTCTAGGACCTGGTAGAGCTTGCTTTCTCACTTTCTTGCTCTGTCTCTTTCTGGTGAGCGCATGTGCTCTATAGCAAATTAAAAAACAATAGTAATAATAGTTAATAAAATTAAATAATTTTTAAATAAATAAAAATAAACACCACTCTGAAGTCAGTAATTCTACCTCTAGGCTTCTACCCACTTATAAAGAAAAATAAATGAATCTTCACAGCATCTCTGTTCATAATAGCAAAAAATTAGAAACCCAAATGTCTATCAAGGTAAATCGATCATGATTTAATGAAATAGTCTTAAACATTAAAAATTATTAATATGGGGACCATTAGTGTAATGGCTAATGGCTATTTCGCTGGACTCCCATGTAGTCAACCGTGGTTCAAGTCCCGGATCCGGTGTCTTAAACTAACGCCAGGCGTGCGTGCGTGCCCAAGATCCCAAGAGGAGAATGGAGAAGGGCTTGCAGTGTGGCCATTCTCCCTAGGGGGTGATTTCTCACTTTCTATCTCTGTTTCTTTCTGTCTTTCTGGTGAACACATGCGCCCTTTAGCAAAATCCTCTTCGAAAAACAAAGAAAAAATAATTATCAATACGTCATGGATGAACTGCAGAAATATTACAACAAGAGTAAAAAGCCAGATACAAAAGAGTACATACTGTATTTTTTATATGAGTACATACTGTATTTTTTATATGAAGTCTGTTTGGTTTTTTTTTCCTCAAAGGGTGTATGTATGTGTTTATCAGAGACACAGAGAAAGGAACAATGAGAGAGTGAGAAAATAACCCCCATGGGGTATGGTCACATTGCAATCTCTTCTCGATTTCTTCCTTTCAGGATTTTGGGCATGCATGCACATGCACACCTGGTGTGTTTCTCAAGCTGCCAGGTCCTAGACTTGAAACATACAATCTGCCAAGCTACCCTATCCACCACATCACTGGCTGGCCCTTATATAAAGGTTTTAGAATAGATAAAACTAATCTACAAGCAAAGAAATCATGAGTGGGCACCTATGTTTGGAAATGGGGAAGAGAGGATCAACTGAGAAGGATAAAAAGGAACTCTGGGGAGGTAAAAGAAATTCTCTAGGGACCAGCAGTTGGTATAATGGCTATGTTGCTGGACTCCCATGTAGTCGACCACGGTTTGAGTCCTGGACCCAGTGGCTTAAATTCTTGCCAGGCACGTGTGAGTATGTGTCCAAGATCCTGAGAGGAGAATGGAGGAGAAGGGCCCGCAGTGTGGCCATCCCCCTGGGAGGTGATTTCTCACTTTCTGTCTTTCTGGTGAGCGCACGTGCCCTATATCAAAAACCTCTCAAACAAACAAAAGAAACACTCTATGTCTTGATAGGTGCAAGAGTTACAAAGGTGTACTCATTTACCACTCACTGAAATGTGGCCAGAATATCTGTGTTTTTCACTATTTATGACAGGGTCTTCAAAAAAGTTCATAGACTGGGCTAGCAGGTGGCGTGGCGGTTAAAGGCGCTGAACTCCCACATGGCTAACTATGGTTCAAGTCCTGGACCTGACAGCTTGCTTTCTCACTTTTTCTCTCTCTGTCCCTCTCTGGTCAAATTAAAATAAAGTTTTTTTTTTTTTTTTTTAAAGTTAATAGACAATATGCATTATAAAAAAACTATACATGGATTTCATATTTTGCAACAAAATTAGTATTTTTTTTCCAATTTTTCTATAAACTTTTTGAAGTCCCACAGTATAAATTAATATCTCGATTTTTTAAAAAAGTAAAATATGTGTATTCTTTCACCAAACGCTATACTTTTATATATTATATATAATAAGCTGGAAATTTAAACACATAGATTTTGATTGCTTAAAAAAACCTTCAGATTAAATTCAAACAGTAAGAGTTCACAGAATCATTTATTTACTTATTCACTTGCTTACTTGTTTTCAAAATAAGTTGTTTTTATAAAAGATTCAGGAAAACCATTTTTAAAAGCATGTACCTTGGTTATCATTAAACACACTTAGTGCTGGAGCAATTTCAGCTGTACTCCATAAACGCAGAGTGCCATCTGCTGAACAGGACAGCAAACGCTGATGGGCTGCACTGTAAGCCAAACCCCAGACCGCATCCGTGTGGCCTACCAGAGGGCCTCTCAGGACAGAAGGATCTATATAAAGTGCAGATGCAAAATAAGGAGAACAAATTCAAATCATATAGGTACTCAGAGTCCAGAAAAAGTACAATATATAAGCAAAAGCACCTGAGAATAGTATAAAATATATTTCCTAGTCTTATATATTATTTTTCTCAGTTGCAGTGATTAAAAATAGGCTTGGAAATATACAAATGTAATTTTTTTAAGTAATTATTTTATTTAACTTTATTTTATTTATTTTGATTTGAGCAGAGAGGAATAGAGTGAGAGGAAGGGAAAGTGAGAAAGCAAGCTGCCAAGACTGAGATTCGAACCGTGGTCTGCCATGTGGGAGTCTAGCGCCCTTAACCACCATGCCACCTGCTGGCCATACAAATGTAATTTTTTATAAATCAAAACATTAATAAAGATAAATTTTTTCTTAAAAATACTATGCATTGCCTTTTCCCTTTCCTTTTGTCCTTCTATTTGTTTAATTTAAAAAAAGTTAACATATCATTTGAATTAAGTCTACATTTGGGAAAAATCACAACTCACACTCTGAGGAAGTTCTCCCCCACTTCCTTTTCTAAAGCTAAAAGAATACATTTTTGAGTCAAGAGCATGTAAAATTATAGAAGCAGATTTAATCCTCTAAGGAAGGTTTGTCTACTGCAAAGAACAGTGTCTGAGCCTAGATGAAAGCCAATATTTAAGGTAAGAAAAAGAAAAGTTCACTCAAGATAGTGAACAGAAATTATCACAGAGTGCCAAAAAAGTCAACAGAATGGACAAATTTTGAAAAGAAGGATTTGTTAACAGTCTCAGATAGAGCAAATCTAGTAAAACGTAAAATACTCTTAAATCAATTAGGTAATCACTGACTGTCTTGTTATATTAGGTCACTGGAAAAGTCATGACATATTTCTCTATGCAAAAATACATCATAACGCTTCTGACAACCCAATAGCTAAATGATGTCACAAGAAGCCAGGAAGCGGAGAGATGATATACAGGGAAAGGACATGGAATTAGTAATTACAATAGTAATTACGTTTTGTAGACAACACATAAAAGAAAGAAAGATGACAAGGGAAGAGAGAGAGCCTGAGAGGGAAATAGAATCAAGAAAAGGCTTCTTCTTATCTGAGGTGGAAGATTCCTGAATTTACTGATACACTGCAGGGAAGGAGACAGAATAAAGACAGTAAGGATAAAGATGCAAGGCAGCAGGAGAGTGAGAGAGAATGAGAGCTGGAGATATCAGAGTCAAGTCCCAAAGGGAGAGCAAGATTAAAGTATGGTCCTAAAGGAAACTAGAAAGAATAGAGAGGCAAACGAGGACTAGCAGAGACTGGCCTGAGACGGTAGTTAAAGGAGATAGATCATACATGGTTGACCACAGTTTGAATCTTGGCTCGTGGCTTGAAAAACACGCTGGGCGCATATGCACATGTGCCCCAAATGCAACAGGGTGGAGAGACCGAGAAGGGATTGCAGCGTAACCATGCCCCATTGTGGGGAGTGGGGTGCTTTTTCCCTCTCTATCTCTCTGCTTTTCTCTGGCAAGTGTATGGACCCTCTTACAAATTATTAAAAGATAAAAAAGCTAAACAGAAAAGGCTGGCCTGGGACAGAATGAGGGACAGATGATTCTCTGAGGAAAAAGTAAACTAAGTAAGGAAAGGCATGGAACAGATATATTTTTAAGAGAAATGGGGGAAGAGAAAGGAGTTACCTTTCACAAAATATATGTACACGGTCTCTTAAATGCTGTGGAGAAATTGCTGTTAGCTAAATTTCTTATTTTTATTTAGGTTTAGTGGTAAAAATAATTTATAGTGTTAATTAAATTAAAATATGCTTTTAAGACTGACAATAAAATTAAAATATGGTTTTATTACAACAAATACAACCCTTCAAACCATTCTAAAACTTGAGAAAACCAAAATAGCCAATTCCTAAACAGTTTTTACAAGATAATTTACAGTATATCTAATAATTTTATGGTATTGTTCCCAAGACTAAAGGGCACTTCTTAACTTCTGAGACCTTTTAAATATTTTGGTGTTGTACACTTTAAGATATTAATTTCTGTATCTTTCTAATAATCGATTAGAAAGATGACTCTAACATTCACTTTTTTCAAATCTGTTTGTCAAGAATTATGATGAAATATGATTACAGATTAATAAATAATATATCAAGTACTGTACAAATGCATAAGAAAAAGAAAACAACTGCCAATCAAGCCAACATTTCTAATAAGACGTTAATGAGTAGAAAATATTTTTCTCAAGAACATATTTCTTGGGACCAGCAGTTGGCATGGTAGCTATGTCGCTGGACTCCCAAGTAGTTGACCATGGTTCGAATCCTGGACCCAGTGGCTTAAACTCATGACAGGCGTGTGTGCGTGTGTGCCCAAGATCCCAAGAGGAGAATGGAAGAAAAGGGACTGTGGTGTGGCCATCCCCCCTGGGGGGGTGATTTCTTGTTTTCTGTCTCTATCTGTCTCTGTCTTTCTGGTGAGCGCATGCACCCTATAGCAAAAACCTCTCAAACAAAACAAAAAACAAAAACATTTCTTTCATTTAGTATTACATATGAAATTGATTCTTAAACATATTTATTTTTCTTAACAAAATGATGTGGTGGTTCTCTTTTAGCTATTTTTTAAAAAAATACCTAAAATGTCCACAAACGGATGAATGGATTGAAAAAGTGTGGCACATATACTTCATGGAATACTATTCAGCCATAAAAAACAAGGCCCTGGAATTTGATAAAAAGTGGATGAATATGGAAGATCTGTTGCTGAGTAAAGCAAGTCAGGCTATGAAAGAGAGACATTATATGTCTCCCCTTAACAAATACCGACTGTCATCACTCTATGGCAGAGACTGAAAGACTGGAAGACATACAAGCATTAAAAATTGTTATGCACACTAGAGCCAGAGCCAACGTGCAAAGAGTGGGGGAGGGGAAGAACATAGGAAAGGAAATTTGGGGAAAGAAGTGGAGAGGTAGGGCATTTGTGGGACACGGATATGGTTTATTATTTGTTGATGAGGACGTGTGTATGTTATCAACTGGGCTGGGCTGGACTGAGGTGTGTGTCGTGCTGGATAATATACACACACACACACATATATATATAAACTTTACCTTTATATACACTATGAAAAAACATTTTTAAAAAAGTATTCTTTTAGACCTTTGGGGACTCACATACCGTAAGAGTCATAGGGGTCGATGTTGGGATTGGTGGTATTCCAGCCCTGTATCACTCCATCAGTACCTCCACTATAACACTGCTCACCATTGCTGCTCATTACCACACAAAGCACTGGACCTCTGGGAGATAAAATTTAAAAATTAATGGCTATTTTCAAAATCAATCTTAAAATAAGATTTGTTAAAAATAACAACACTTAATTACTCAAATAGCTTTCTATTTTTCCTATTTTTCTACTTTCTACAATGAATAAAAATATTGTTGGGGCTGGCTGGTGTCACAGTGGTTGAGGCAGCTGGATCCTACATGACTGACTGCATAGTTCAAGGCCTCAACCTGCAGTTAGAAAAACATACTGGAAGCACGTGTATGTGTGCTCAAAATCCCAAAAGGAGAAATGAAGAAGGGATTATGATTTGGCCATCCTCCATGGGGAGTGCTTCTCGCTCTTGCACAACACATGATCTCTTTCCCCTTCCTCCAGTGAGCGCATATACCCTCTAGCAAATTAAAAACAAAAAAACAAACAAACAAAAAAAAGTACTTCTATTAAACCATAGGTTGGTAAAGTATGGCCTACAGGTCAAATCCAATCAGTGTTCTCTTCCTGTACAGCCCTCAAGCTAAGAATGGCTTTTACAAGATCAACAAGTAGCATGGAGCTTAGGGCACTGAAACCCAAATCTACATGGTTTGAATGCCAGGCCTGAAGGCTTGAAAATCACAGCAGGCACGTGCCCAAAATCCCAAAAGGAGACTGAAGGAGAAAGGATTGCAGCGTGGCCATCCCACCAGGGAGTGATTTTTCACGTTTTCTCCCTCTCTCTGGTGAGGACATGCACCCTATAAGCAAGAATTAGACCCCCCCAAAAACACACACACACACACACACACACACCTTCCTCAAGCTTAAAGGAAAGCAGGAAAAAAAATTAAATATGTGATCATAATAAAAAAAAAAAGTTCTTAATATTTTTACCTAGGATAGAAAAAAAGAAAGAATTTCAACTTTTTAAAAAATGTACATATATCATTTAAACAAAATGCAAATAAAATCTAATTTCAGCCAGAATCCCTATTTGGTAATGCTAAACTTGTTTTTAACGTTATACTAGACTGCTAGTTTCTTTTACAAAAGAACACTACTAAGTGTAAAAAATACATAACACAAATACATAAGTGAACGAAAATAAAACATCCTAACCAGGTTGTCTTACAATGATGTTGGTTTAAAATGAAGAAAAACTTGGGCCAGCATGGTAATTAAAGTGGCTGGATCCCACATGGCCCACTCCACGATTCGAGTATTGGACCTGGAGGCTTGAAGAACATGCCAGTGACGTGTACGTGGGCCCAAAATCCCAGGAGGAGAAGGGATTGCGTCATGGCCATCTCTCCAGGGGGGTAGTTTCTCATTTTCCCACTCTCTGCCTGAGTGTGTCTCTCTGATGAGTACACATGCCATATAGCAAAAACTAGAGGAAAAAGAGAAAAAAGAGGGACCAGCAGATGGCATAATGGTTATATCGCTGGACTCCCACACAGTCTACCATGGTTCAAGTCTCAGACCTGGCAGCTTAAAACTTATGCTGGGCACATGTGCATGCATACCCAAAATCCCACAAGAAGAATGGTGGAGAAGGAATTACAGCCTGGCCATCCCCCCTGAGGGATGATTTCTTGCTTTCTGTCTCTCCAGTGAGCACACATGCCCTATGGCAAAATGTCTCTCTACAGGACAAGCTGATGGCATAATGATTATGTCACTGGACTTCCACAAGGCTAACCACGGTTCAAGTCCTGGACGTAGAGGCTTGAAAGTCCTGCTGGGCACACCCAAAAGCCAGAGAGGAGAATGGAAGAGAAGGGATTATGGCGTGGCCATCCCCCCCAGGGGGTGACTTCTTGCTTTCTGTATCTCTGTGTCTCTGGTGAGTACATGTACCCTATAGCAAAAATCTCTTAAAAAAAAAAAAAAAGAGAGAAAAAGAGAAAGTGCATACTTACTTATGAGCCCTGAATGTATAGATAGGCTCTACATCGAGAGAAGTACTCCTAAAGCAGAGAGAGAAGATGACTTTTAATCATTCCAAGTTTCAGTAGTAAACAATATGAATGAATATATGTCACAGAATTCCCTTTAGAAATATAAACACTATGGCAACATACTATTCTCAACAGGTTACATAAATAAGTTTACCTAAAACCAATTTCACTTTCAGGACATCAAGAAACAAGATACTTGTTTAGTAATAGTACCTTGTTACAATGATTTAACATTGTATGTCTATTGACTGAGGGAAAGATAGCTTACTTCTGGAGAAACAACACAGGCTTTGAAGGGACACATTTCTGAGTTCAATTTCTAATTATGTTACATTACCAGCCAATTATAGGTAAGTAATTTTTCAAAATTTCAGATCCCTCTATATTTTGAATATAACAAACAAGAAAGGAGATAATACCAAATACTCATGGTATTAAAAATATTCTACAATTAAAACATGATCCAGGACAGAACCAGGCACATAGTAAGATTTCATGAAGGTTAATATGTGTATCCTATATAGTGTAGAAATTGCCCCAGGCAGCAGTTTATTCATTACTCAGAACACTAGAGTGGGTACACTATGGACACTACATAATATTGGCTATGGTCATTAATGGAAACTGGATTTAAAGTCAAGTCCTTACCATTTCTACACATTGCAGTTAGTTTTATGTATATGTTATCTCAAGTCATTTCCCACTTCTAAGTTCAAGGATAATTAGGCCACTATTATTTACATATTTACATAATTTCCTGCTAATACCAGCAAGAAACTTGTTTTGGTATTTTTTTCTTCATTTTAGTTACGAATATATAAGAAAACATTTACATCTCTAGCCTAATGTGACTGCACTAGAATTATAACTAATATATCTTAACTAAAGAACCAGGAAGGAAAAAGGCACAATGTGTAACTAGGAAATAACTTTTCTCTGCTGAAAATACCTGATCCATATGAGTCTGTCTTCCTTTAACAAGATCAGGTAGAGCATAAGATGTGAACTGTAAGTATTTTATCTCCCCTGTGTACATCGACTTGCGAATGTCACTGATTTCTCAATTTGAGCAACAGATTTCCTCTATCAGTAGTAAAATTCCAGCAATCTTCATCATTTGAAGTTCAGTTACTCTTAAAATAGAAACGATGCTTGACACTGCAGAAGGGCTGTTGTTGGCAGATGCTTGTTCTGGACCATGTCACCCAAGGAAGGAGAGATCTCCAATAAGTATCCCACCAAGTGTGATCAGGTCTAGCTAAGGGTTTGATAAAGGGGTTTGTACTAACTTGTGCCCATGATTAGACAGAAACCAAAGTGCTAAGGCAAGCTCTAGCCCTTAGGTAATGGCAACAATGCCTTTTAGTCTAGACACATTGGTGGGTATAGAATATATTGTGCCTAAAAGCTCACAGTCAAAAGACAAGACTGAAACGAGGTCCTCCGCCCCTTCCAATCAGCCCTTTTCTCCTCCACCCCCACAGTGCAAACTCAGTGAACAGTGGGAGAAAAGAGGTTGGAGGTTTGATGATTTTAAACATTCCTATAACTGTTTACAAGGATAGTAGAAACCTTCGGTGTGAATAATGGACTCCCCAAAAATGAAAGTCATTTTAAAACACTATATGTATTAGCCCTATAATCAGCATCCACAAACCCTGGGAAAATCATCGGATAATCCCATTTCTTCCTGAGTGTCAGTTTTCCAACTTAATGTTAGATTACATGAAGGGAAAAGAGCCTAAATTATGTGCCATGATAAAGGAGAGCCAACTAGAGGAGATAATTGGGAAATCTAATAGCAAATAATAAAATACTTTTTTTCCTGCTAAAAACAACTATTAATTAAAATACTCAAATGAAGGAGAATATCCTCACTTTTTGGCTGGTGCTGTTTTCTGCAAATTCCACATTTTTAATGTGTGATCCTCTGATGCTGTTATCAAAACAGGCTCAATGGGGTGAAAAGCAAGGGCTCGAATGCCATCAAAGTGACTTCTCAACGTAAACTTAGGGTTCCATGTCTTCCTCAATGCATCTTTATTGTTTGCTATCTAGTAAAGAAACAAAACAAAGATATCTATGTCATTTAATCTGACACAAGGGGGAAAAAGTATTCCAAAATTAATTCTTACTGATTTGTCATCAAACCACATATTGCAACTTTCAAAACAAATGTAATTTTAAAATGTGTATAACCAAATCAATAGGCAAAATTATTAATGTCAACTACAGTTCTCTTTGAGGAAATATGAAAGGTGTAATAAGAAAACGGTTAACAAAATGCAATATAAAAAGTTGGGAACCAGCAGTTAGCGTAATGGCTATGTCGCTGGATTCCCACCTAGTCGACCGCGGTTCGTGTCCCGGACCCGGTGGCTTAAAACTCACACTGGGCGCGTGTGCGTGCGTGCCCAAGATCCCGAGAGGAGAATGGAGAAGAAGGGATTGCGGCGTGACCATCCCCCTGGGGGGTGATTTCTCGCTTTGAGCGAACGCACCCTACAGGTAAAATCTCTCAAAAAAAAAAAAAAAAAAAAAAAAAGCAATATAAAAAGTTGACTAACTAATGTAAAATAGGTCTTTACTGGGACATTAAAAACATGAAACCAAGTCAGGCCAGCAAATGGCATGGTTGTTAACGCCCTGGATCCCACGTGATCAACTACATGGTTGGGGTCCAGGACCTGTTGGCTTGAAAAACCATGCCAGGTGTGTGTACGTGTGTGTCAAAAATAACAAGAGGAAAATGGAAAAGGAACTGTGGTGTGGTTATGCCCCACTAGGGGTGATTTCTCACTTTCATTTCTGTTGCTCTCTCTCAGGTGAGCATAATGTCTTACAGCAAAAACTAAAAGAAAATAATAAAACTAAGCGATTCAACCTAAACTGTAGTATAAAAAGTGCAAGTTGGGGTAAGAAACTAAGTTATCTTTAAATCTATAAACACTTTAGAACATGATCATGCCCTTGAAATTTTTAATACTTTCTAAAATAAGCTAAGCTTTTTTTTTTTCTTTATCGAACTGGAAACGAAGTTTAAACACTGCCAACAGAAAATGTCAAAAATGGAAGAGATCATCATACATAAGAAAAAATACATTTCACTAGTAAAACACACACCATGAACTTAAAAAAAGTTCACAGAAAATGTACTGGAAAAGACTACACACAGATTTCAAAAATTTTGGCATCAAACTTCATTTTCCCATGAACTTTTGAAGTCCCCTCTCATTTTTTTTTTTTCTTCCCAGTAATTACATCTCAACAACTGAAAAAAATGTGTTTTAGTTTTAGTTTTCTACATGGCATGAGAGCGCACTCGAGAGACACAGAAGTCAGAGAAAGAAATTGAGAAATCACCCCCTAGTGGGCATAACCATGCCACAATCCGTTCTTCTCCATTCTCTTCTCAGGGTTTTGGGAACGCAAACACATGACTGGCATGATTTTCAAGTCTCCAAGCCTGGGACTCAAATCCATAGTCATGTGGGATCCAGCTGCCTTAATCTACACCACCTGCTGGCCCAAAAATATGTACTGTTTTTTTTCTCTTTTCAACTAACAGAAAAGTTGAAGTGTAGCTGTTATTTGACTTTATACTAGTACCATGTACGACTTCACATTCCAAGACTAACAATCACACTAGGTTTAAGCAAGAGTGGGGCCGCTTCTGGTAACAGACTAAAGAAATGCCATAACATATTGCCACACTTACACAACAATATCAACAACTACTATTTTGAACATTATTCAAAATACTTTACGTGCATTAATTCAATTCTTTTAACAGCTCTATGATGCAGGAATTAACAGTATCCTCACACCATAGACTAGACAGTCAAGAAAAAGTGACTTTTCCAAGAAACCCTGTTAGTGAGTACAGGGGCCTGGATTCAAACCCAAGCAGTCTGCTTTCAGAGGTCATACTCAATATAAACTAAAATGTAGAACCCAGACATTTTTTAAAAATCTGTAAAAAATAACTGGATGGGACATGCCACAACGAGGGTAATAAGAGAACACAAAACACATCATACAAGGAACTACTATAACAATTAAGGCTACTGGGGTTAGCAGGGGGCATGGTGGTTAAGGTGCTGGACTCCCACATGGTCAACCATGGTTTGAATCCTGGACCTGGTGGCATATTTCTTTCTCTCGTTTCTCTGGTCCAAATTTAAAAACAATAAATAAATAAAATAATTCTTTAAAAAATTTATTTATTTTAAAAGTTGAGGCTATTTTTTCCACAAAAGAAAAACTAGAGAAAATAAACTTGGTATGGTGGTTAAAGCAATTGGATCCCATATGATCAACTGTGCAGTTTTGAGTCCCAGACCTGGTAGCTTAAGAAACACACTGGGCAGGTATGTGTGTGTGCACCTAAAAATCACAAAAAGAGGGAGAAATAAAGAAGGGTTGTAGCATAACCATTCACCCCAGGGCTGCTTTCTCATTCCTCACACCCTGTTTCCGACAAGCACCGTGCCATCTGGCAAAATTAAAACAAACAAACACACACACACACATGTACACACCAAATACAAACTGAACCAAGGTCTCTATTTGTGACAGGTTTTACCAATGTCTTCTATAAAATCTACCTTTTCTTAAAAGGTAGATTTAAACCGAGTAAAAACATAAAAATAATATTTCTACTTACATCATAAGTCAGTGAATCTGCTTCATTGGCCACTGTAAGGCCTGCTAATTCTCCAAGTCCCAGTTCACTTTCAAGGGCTTCATCTGCTCCCATGATGAACGACTTCCCAGAAGAAGGAGGAAACGTCAGTGCTTCCACTAGGGAGAATGCAAAGGAAACACAACAAAACCTCTAAAAATTCAACAGTTAGTCTCATTTCCTTGTATAAAACTTCTTTAAACAGCATTTATTTATTTGATCACTTTACAATGCTTTTAAACACAACAAAATTCAGTGAGCAGAAAGTCATGAAGAATTGGCTGCTTTTGCCATATCTTAACCACAGATACAGGCATCATCTAATTAGAAAAGTAAAATATAAAACGAATCTAATAATCCACTGTCCCTTTTCAATATATAAAACAAAACAAAGCAAAACAAAACAAAAAACAAAACAAAAAAACAGTACAATCAAGGGAAAGTACATTTTCCTCCTTTGGTATTTCAAGTTAATTACCCAAATAATTTCTACCACTTACTAAACATATGTAACAAGTGATTCTGAACATTTTGGTCTCATTCAAAATAAGTTCAGGGCCAGCAGGTGATGTGGTGGTTAAGGGCGCTGGACTCCCACATAGCTGTCTGCAGTTCAAGTCCTAGACCTGGGAGCTTATTTTCTCACTTTCCCTCTTTCTCATTGTCTCTCAGTCTGTCCCTCTCTGGTTAAATTAAAATAAATAAGTAAACAAGTAAAATAAATAAAGTTAAACAAAATAATTCTTTAAAAATTAAATTAATTCTAAAACCTGGAAAAATACAGAAAATTTAAAATAAAAATGGTTAAAATGGCAAAATGTGCCTATATGCAGTAAATTAGTACATGGAGTGAAAAGCCAGGATTACCTTTGGGGGTCAGGAAAGGGGTAATGATAAGGAGGCGGCACAAGCAGGACTTCTGGAGCCCAGGCAGTGGAGACATGGGTGGGCAATAATTTCAATTTTGTGAGAATTCACTGAACTGTACGCTCATGCTTTCAATATTTTTGTGTAGGTATATTATGTTTCATTTTTACACGTTTACTTTTTAAAAAATTGTAAAGGTGAACGATTGAACATATTCTCTTTTTTTAAGGTATTTATTTATTTATTCATTTACTTGTTGTGATTTTCAAGCCACCGAGTCTACTGGCCCCCATTTGAACATTTTCATTACCTGCTAAGTATGCTTCAGAACATTAGCACTGGAGCCAGCAGGCGGTGTAGTGGTTAAGGCGCTAGACTCCCACATGGCTGACCATGGTTTGAGTATCCAGATCTGGAGGCTTGAAACATGCCAGGCATGTGTGCATGCAGGCCCAAGATCCTGAGAGGAACATGAAGAAGAAGGAATTGTGGCATGGCCATCCCCCTTGGGGGCTGATTTCTCACTTTCTCTCATCTCGCCAGAATCTGTTACCCAAAAGTTTATTAGAAAAAAAAAAAAAAAAAAAAAAAAAAGACATCAGCATTACTTTATGATGACCACAAATATCCTTACTTTCTAACACTAAATGTACCAATCCAGTTCTTTCAACAACTATCTTAGAACTATTTCAAATAAAATACCAAATTAAAATAGAAATTTTAATTCAGTCAATAATAAAATGTCACTTTTTGTAAGCAAAAATTATTCTCACAACCCAAAGATGGTTTTTGAGTAGTTTTCTAAAGAAAGTTACTTTACTGATGACAAATACCTATGAATCAATTAAAATGAACTTAGTAGTTCAAACAAAAAGCCCGAAGGAGGATGGCCATGCCGCAATCCCTTCTCCTCCATTCTCCTCCTGGGATCTTGGGCACACATGCACACGTGCTGGCATTAGTTTTAAGCTAATGGGTCCAGGACTCAAACCACAGTCAACCATGTGGGAGTCCAGCAACATAACCACATTAGTTCAAATTTTAGCTGCTAAAGAAGCAAATCATTCCATAAAGAAGCAAGTCAATTATACTAATAGTATATTTGGAAAACAATATACAAGATTTTTTTCAACTTTATACTCTATCATATCTAATAACAGATATTTTCTGAATAAAGGAAAAAAATAGTTACTTGCTTCTAAAAATATTAGTGATAAGAATGCTATTTAAAATCCCTGTCAGGGCAAAATAGAGTATAGATTACATAAAGCATATATTAAGACATTATCAAACCATTATACAACAATAAAACTGAGTTTTACCTAAAGCACCATATACCATCTGATGGGTTCCAAACATTTACTAACAAATGGTGGGGATTATTTAAGTTAGAAAGTAATTTTCAAGACAAAATTTCAACCAAATGACTCGAGACTATGAAGCTAGGTCTTTCGGCCCGGTGTTGTTTTCATTCCTACTATTTTCAAGTAACTTTGGGTGAAATAAAATTAATCTTCAAAAGAAGGAAAGATTCCTGGTATTGATCATATACATTGTATAGGCCAATTTTCATTGATCCTCTAAAATGGTTGAGTAAAATCTGGAAACAAGGCAAGCAGCAACTACCCCCTCACACCCCAGTGAGCCAGCAGACTGGAGGTCTGACGAGAGAGCGACGATGGGCATTACTGTCATTGGTTACTCTTCAATGTGACTTACAATTGAGGACTATGGGTCACAGTTCTACCTGGTAACTAAACGTGGCTGGCTCCAGTTAGCTTTTATAACATTATTTAACTGTTGCCTCATGTGCAATACTGCCTTCTCCATTATTAAAATAAAGTGTAGAGCACACACAGGCTATGGAAGAGTTTTCTGAAACTGGACTGGAGACCAAGAGATATCAGTCCCGTTTAATTAAACATACACTTTATTCCTTTTATTTATTTTACATTTTTTGCTATAGGGTGTGTGAACTTCCTGGAGAGGGAGAGACAAAGAAATGAGAAGCCAATCTCCAAGTGAAATGGCCACACTGAAATCTCTTCTCCCCTCAGGATTTCGGGCACAAGCATGCAAGAGCCCAACATATTTTTCAAGCACCAAGTCAAGGACTCAAATTGCGGAATCTGCTGATTTCTTAAATGCCTTTTCTACTTCTGAAAAACAAGCACTGAGGGGGAAGGCTGAGGACCACTGGTACAGATAGAGTGAGTTAGACATTCAGTGCTTCAGTTTTAAATACTTTTTTCCTATCAAGGGAACTTTCTATGGTGAGCTGTTTTGTACAGCTGTCGCTTAGTAAATACAACATATCTTCATTATTAAAGTTCTGCATAATTTATACTGACCCAAGATGAAATCTCTGCTAAAACTCTGAGTTAAGAGAATAAGATGGAAACTAACTCTCATTAGCCAGATGTGATCTACAACAAATAGTTAACCATGTAATAGCCAAAAATGTCACTGAAAAAGTATTCCAACCAGGCCGGCAGGTGGCATGGTGATTAAGGCACTGGACTCCCACAATTTATTTTACATTTTTTGCTATAGGGTGTGTGAACTTCCTGGAGAGGGAGAGACAAAGAAATGAGAAGCCAATCTCCAAGTGAAATGGCCACACTGAAATCTCTTCTCCCCTCAGGATTTCGGGCACAAGCATGCAAGAGCCCAACATATTTTTCAAGCACCAAGTCAAGGACTCAAATTGCGGAATCTGCTGATTTCTTAAATGCCTTTTCTACTTCTGAAAAACAAGCACTGAGGGGGAAGGCTGAGGACCACTGGTACAGATAGAGTGAGTTAGACATTCAGTGCTTCAGTTTTAAATACTTTTTTCCTATCAAGGGAACTTTCTATGGTGAGCTGTTTTGTACAGCTGTCGCTTAGTAAATACAACATATCTTCATTATTAAAGTTCTGCATAATTTATACTGACCCAAGATGAAATCTCTGCTAAAACTCTGAGTTAAGAGAATAAGATGGAAACTAACTCTCATTAGCCAGATGTGATCTACAACAAATAGTTAACCATGTAATAGCCAAAAATGTCACTGAAAAAGTATTCCAACCAGGCCGGCAGGTGGCATGGTGATTAAGGCACTGGACTCCCACATGGCCAATTGAGGTTCAAGTCCTGGACTCAGTGGCCTGTTTTCTCACTCTCCCCTCACCCCCGTCTCTCTCTCTGGTGACTACACGTAATCTATAGCAAAGTGAAATAAATAAATAATAATAAAATTAAAATAACTATTTCTTAAAAAATGAATTCTTACCATTAAAATCTATACATCAAAGTCCAATCAGTTTATGGTTCTCTAAAATAAGAATTTTTAAAGCAAGAAAAATATATATAATGATTCTGTAGCTTCTTCTTAGGTTGTTCTGTTCCATAAATAATAATTTGAAAATTTTATATATGAAGTTTTTCACTTACATACAGTCCAAATGAGTACTATATTTAAATTCAAGGCAATTTAAAAAACTTTTTTAAAACATTCATTAATCCAGCCCAGCAGGTAGCACAGTGCTTGGAGCACTGGAATTCCATATGGGTGACTGCAGTTCAAGTCCCAGACTTGGTGGCTTGCTTTCTCATTTTCCCTTTCTCTCTGTCTCTCTCGGGTCGGGTCAAATCAAATAACAACAACAATAAATAAAATTTTAAACATAATTATTTTTAAAAATGCATTGATCAAAATTAGTTTAGTATCATACTGAATTTCAGCACTTATAAATTTTCACATATAAGCATTTTATACATTTATAAATTAGAACTTATTTTTTATAACAAAGAACTATATTTATATCTAAGACTATACTGTAAAAAGTAGCAACAACTTAAACATCTAAAAGAGAATGGTTTCACATCATGATTAAATGTAACATACTGGATTGTCAGAAAAATCATAATGTATTTTTTTCTATGCAAAAATGCATCATGACTTTTCCAACAACTCAATACAATCTTAAAATTATGAGTATTAATTGTATAAGTTTGTGTTAAGTAAATAAAACAAAATAGCATTCTACATGATGACAATAGATAAAAAATTATATGCCTGTTGACAAGGATGGAAAGCGACTAAGGAAAAACAGAAAATGGGACTAGATTTTCAGATTTTTTCTTTTTCATTTATTAATGATAAAGTGATTAAATATTTGCTTTTACTATTTTGTATTCTTAATTTTCTCTGTGTTGGTAGGTTTATGGTATCTACTATGGCATGGGCATCTGTGGAGCTACAGTTATTCTGAATCAGAATTTAGAGTTGGTTTTGAAGTATAAATAATTTTCCCCAAGTTTTAAAGATTGAAACTAGAATCAAACCCACTTAAATGTAAGAAAGCCTACATTTGGAGGTGGGAGTGATAATAGGTAGATCAAACATGTGCATAATAAAATTTTCTCTAAAATAAGAACATCCTGGGATTTGTGCTCCAGAGTGTCTGAAATACTTGCCTTCATCTGCCCTGTTAATTTCGTGTTCAGGAAGCCTGGAGCTGCTGGGTCTGGCAGGTGAACCCACAGACGGCTGCAATGAAGGAAGTTCATCAACATCTCTCAAATTAGCAAGCATATCTTGTAGTTTTGACCTATTGGGCCCTAGCCAAAAAAGGGGGGAGGACAAAAGAAAAGGAAAGAGAATTATCCAAACGCATCAAGAGGCTGTCATAAATCTTCTTTCATATTGGTCAACATTTATGCCTTTATAAATATCCTACTAGATTAATAAGTAATTATTTTCAATTTTTAACATTATTTAAAAAGTTTATTATTCTTGAAAGTAATTTATATTTTACATACATTTTTTTAAATTAAGCTAGTGGAATAATAGGAATATTTGCATGAAAAAGTGTTCAAGTCCAATTTGGACTTTTAAAAGTATGTTACTTTATTGTATCTTGCTCTAAATGCAGACAGATACCATGGACTGCAAACCTACCATGTACGGAATTTAACAATAACGAATCCCTGTTTGTTTGTTTAAATTAAGCTGCATCCACTGCCTTACACCCTGAAGCTATAGTGCCAAGGTGAAGTCTCATGTCCTGCTCATTACTTACCTGGTCTTTGGTTCTTCATTCTCCCACATCCCTGTTTTGACTGTTTTATATAGGATAGAGGCTGAAACAGATCTTCGGTAGTTTTTCCTGTTACAAGTTTAATTAAGAATGGGAAAATCTTACCCATAGTCCATTATGGTTTTTTCCTATACCAGCAAAGAATACAACTACTTTTAAGCAATTTTTACTAATACCTAGAAATATAACTCAAGATGGTATGACTGAAATACACAATTTGACTGGAAACATTTCTACTAAATGTTTTAAAAAGACAAAGTTTTCCAGTGAGCAATAGTTGAATTTAAAAACACATTGACAGTGGTTTATAAATAAAATACTGCATATATCAATTCAAAGCTTTATTTTCATTCTTTTTATTGTACGTCTCCATTTGTTGCCAGATTATTTTATGTACTCAACTTTAGTGCATAGTCCCTCTATCTTCAGTGAAAGACTACAGAGTCATTTTTCTGCCCTTAAAAAAAAAAATGTGCAATTAGCCTGAACACAGATCATACTCAGATTCAGGAAGCCCAATCACTTCTATTAGTAGGAATATTATTCCAGTCAAATGGTTACACTTTAGACCTTAAGTACTAAAATCCAACAGTGAAGGCTTGATATTTGAAAACCAGTATCAGAAAAAAAGAAAACCAGAATCAAAGTAGGTGGATTCCATCTAAATCTTGGCTATCTTTCCAACCAAAAGGTCATTTACATTTCATGACATTCATTTTTGTAACATAATAACCTAAAGAAATGTATCAATGTCAAGTGAATGTGAATGTTTTTTTTTCATTTATAATATCTAAATTTTCTTCAAATTCTCAATTTAGTTAGTTTTGTCCTGGCTCCAAAAAGCCACGACGAATCATATCTCACACTATTTATTAAGATTATAATTTTATTATATTTAGATAAAAGGTACAAAATGTTATGTTTTAATATTAACACTTCCCACTCTGATTTAATCGATATTAAGAATGCATTCAATGACACCCTATCTCACTTAATATGTGATGATTATCTGCTGACGTCACTAATGACCACTAATTTTTTACTGATTCAAGCTAAACATTTTTAAATTCTAAGATATTTTAAATAAAGATTTAAATGCTTTTAAGTAGCTACCAGATTGTAAAAGAATGTCCTACTAGGAATGACTAGTCTTTGATAAGTTTTAGCAACATTATAAAGAAAGAAAAAGAAAAGCATATCCTTACAGTCTTCTGCAAGTTTTAAATACATTTCTCACTCAGATTAGAGTTTAATCTCACTTTGCACTATAATATTTCAAAAAAGTCAGACTGCTTTTGCCATAAAAGGTAGTTCCAAATTCATACTGTCAATGAGGCTGGAAGCGTAAGGAGGTAGTTTAGCCTTGCTCTCTTAAAAAAATTTAAGACCATTTTCAGAAAAACTTTGAAAGCTTTTGCATTTCCATTTTACTTGACTAGATTACTAAACTTTGTTAATATGAGGTTGTCAGAAAAGTCTTGATGCATTTTTACATAGGAAAATACATCATGACTTTTCTGACAACCTAATAATTTGCATAATGCAAGTTATATGATTCACAGGGCTAGAAATTTAATTTGGCTTTGGTTTTGATGTGGTACACATTTTACTAAAAAGCAAAAGAAAGGTAATTGGTAATACATTAAAAATGAAATTGGCCAAACATTTTAAATAAGTCCTTTTAAAGGTTATATATTACTCTGTGCCCTGTACAGCATATAGTGATAAGAGCAAATGAATTGTGTGTTATGAAAACATAGAATATTCAGGGGTAGAAATTAACTTTCTCTAAGATCTACAATTATAAGCAATAATTTTGGTAAGTCACCAGAGAGTCATGCCAGATGAAGATTTATAAATTGTCACTGAAAAAAAATTGTTGTTATTAAGCAGCTATTTCAAAAATCAAATCCTCACTATTAATCCATAGTCTGACATTCTCATGAAGCTCTGGATTTATTACTAAGATATATTATGATTCCATAATCACATTTTTTAAGTTCATAATCAAATAGCTAACCATTTAATTTCAACCCCTGAGAA